TTGCAGTGAGCCAAGATCACACCATTGCACTCCAGCCTGGGTGACAAGAGTCAAACTCCATCTCAAAAAAAAAAAAGAAAACCACTTTCTCAGAGTGAGACTTCGTTTGGTAGTGTTATCAGGGAGAGTGACAGACAGTGATCGTAAAAGAAAAAGACTTTTAATTTTTGTGTTTAGCTTAGTTTTAAGTTTTATTAAAATTTTGGTTTTTAAATTAAAAACAAACATTTTGGCTATTAAAATGATCATGCTGTTGACATTTACTATATCTCAAAAATTTTAATTCATAATTTAAAAACATTATGGAAAATCGCTGATACAAAAGGAGAGGGAATAATATAATGAAACCATTATTGTTCCCAGCTTCCACAGTTAACACATAACCAATCTTGTCTATACTTATCTCTGCATTATTTAAAATCAAACCTATACATACCATTTCAACTATATTCAATATGTATCGCTAAAAAATAAAACCTGTTAAAAAAATACTACCGTATCATTATTAAACCCCCCACAATGAACATTGGCTCCTTATTTTCATCAAATGGCCTATCAGTGTTCAATTTTTTTTTTTCTTTTTACTATGTATTTGAAGCAGGATCCAAAGGAGGGCCATCCATTTGCGATTGACATATCTTTTTTTTTTTTTTTTTTTTTTTGAGATGGAATCTCACTCTATTGCCCAGGCTGGAGCGCAGTAGCGTGATCTCGGCTCACTGCAACCTCTGTCTCCCGAGTTCAAGCCATTCTCACGCCTCAGCCCCCCGAGTAGCTGGGATTACAGGCGCCCACGACCATGCCCGGCTAATTTTTATATTTTTTGTAGAGACGGTTTCAGCATGTTGTCCAGGCTGGTCTCAAACTCCTGGCCTCAAGTGATCCGCCTGCCTCGGCCCTCCTCGGCTCTCCTCGGCCTCCCAAAGTCCTGGGATTACAGGCATGAGCCACCAAGCCCAGCCACAATTGACATTATCTTCTAAGTTCCTCTTTAAAGTAGGATTTGCATCCCTCTTTTTTTTCTTGCTGTTTTATTCTTGAGGAAGAAACCAGGTTGATCTCTGTCGAGTTGGTGCTGTGGGGTTTCTCAGTCTCAATTTTGCATTCCTGTGATGTCATTCATATTAATGTGTGTGGTTGCAGATTGTTTATGTTTCCATAATGAGATGTTTACCCTCGTAAATGACTTGGTTATCCACCAGACATTATGTTAACGTCTCTTCGGTCTTTTTGGTCATCTGAAGCTCATTCTATAGTATATGATACAGAAGGTGCCCACAGGTGCATTATTCCCATATTCCACGAAAGTATATGATTATGAAGGTTAGTTTGATTGTTTATAAAATCCATGACTTACATTTTCTTTCTTTGCATACCTTAGTTACTCTATGGACTTCTGGAAAAAAGCATTGCTGTCACAAAGTCTGATGACAATCTGATTTTCTTTTCCCTACTTGCAATTTGGTCTTTTTTAAAAACCTGGGTGATCAAATGATTTTTTCCCTTTTCTTTAAAGGGTCAGTGTTCCTAGATACGCAGGATACCCTTTCAATGTGTAGTTTCAAGCTGTCTTATTTTAGGAGAGTTCTTTTGAGTTGTTTTTGGTATTTGTTCTGTATTACTGCTTTGGTTTTCTTCTTCAGGACCTGCCATTGTAGATGTACCTTTGCTGATCTTCTTTATCACTTTTTCTAAATCACCTTATCTCTTCTTTTAAAATTAGTTTATTTTTAAATAACAGTTTTATTGAGCAAAATCCTTACACCATGAAATTCACCCTTTTAAAGTATACAATTCAGTGGTTCTTAGTATATTCACAGAGGCATGCATTATTGCCAGTATCTAATTCTAGAACATTTTCAAATTTTAGAAAGAAACGTTATACCCATTAGCAGTCACTCCACATTCTCCCCTATCCCCCACAGCTCCTGGAAACCACTAATCAGTCTGCTTTCTGTCTCTTTGGATCTGCCTATTATGGACAGTTCATGGACATTTCATGGAATCATTCAGCTGTGTACTGGCTTCTCTCACTTTGCATAATGTTTTCAAGGGTCATCCCTTCATATTGATATTTCTTGTATCAGTGTATTGTTCCTTCTATAGCTGAATGATACCCCATTGTATAGATATACCACTTTTTGTTTATCCATTCATCAGATGAACAGTTCAGTTGCGTCTACTTTTTGGCTATTGTGAATAATGCTGCTGTGAATGTGCAAGTTTTTATTTCTCTCGGGTATATACCTAGGAGTGGGATTGTTGGGTCACGTGGTAACTAATTAGCATTTTGAGGAACTGCCAAACTATTTTTCAAGTGGCGGCACCATTTTACGTTCCCCAGCAAGGTATGAAATTTCTGATTTCCCATATCCTCACCAACCTTTGTTACTTTTTTATTCTAGCTATCCTAGTGGTATGAAGTGATACCTCATTGTGGTTTTGATTTGCATTCCTCTCACGACTAATGATGTTGAGCATCTTTTCATGTGTTAATACTTATTGGCTATTGTAAGCACTGTGGACACAGTGATGTATCAGATACATGGTTTTGCAAATATTTTCTCCCATTTTGTAGGTTCTCTTTTCACTTTCTTGATGATATCATTTGAAGCCCAAAAGTATTTAATTTTGATTTAGCTCAGTTTACCTACTTTTTCTTTTGTCATTGTGCTTTTGGCTTCTTAACTGAGAAATCATTTCTGAGTTCAAGGACACAAAGATTTACTTGTATGCTTCCTTTAAGAGTTTCATAGTTTTGACCAGGCGCGGTGGCTCACGCTTATAATCCTAGCACTTTGGGAGGCCGAGGTCAGTGGATCACCTGAGGTGAGGAGTTCAAGACCAGCCTGGCCAACATGGTGAAACCCCTTCTCCACTAAAAATACAAAAATTAGCTGAGCATGGTCGTGCATGCCTGTAATCCCAGCTACTTGGGAGGCTGAGGCAGGAGAATCACTTGAACCCAGGAGGCAGAGGTTGCAGTGAGCCGAGATCGCACCACTGCACTCCAGCCTGGGCTACCGAGTGAGACTGTCTCAAAAAAGAACAAAAAAAAAAGTTTCATGGTTTTACTTTCCATTTAGATCTTTGATACATTTGAGTTAATTTTTCTGTATGACTTAAGGAAGGAGGGATCCAGCTTTGTTTTATTTTTTTTAGTTTTTTTGAGACAAGGTCTCACTCCCATCGCCTAGGCTGCAGTGCAGTGGCGTGATCTCAGCTCACTGCAGCCTCAACATCCTGAGCTCAAGCCATCCACCAAGTAGCTGAGACTATAGGTGCATGCCACCATGCTCAGCTAATTTTTGTATTTTTCATGGAGATGGGGTTTTGCCATGTTGCCAAGCTAGTCTCAAACTCCTGAGCTCATGTGATCCACCCACCTCGGCTTCTCAAAGTGCTGGGATTACAGGCATGAGCCATGGCGCCTGGGCCAGCTTTATTCTTTTGCATATGTATATCTAGTCTTCCCAGCACCATTTCTTGAAAAGACTATTCCTTTCCCATATAATTTTCTTGACACCACAATAACTTTTATGGAATCTGAGATCCTTTTCTTTGCTATTGTCTGCTAGTGAAATGAATTTTTCTCTACTTTTAGGAGGGAGGGAATGGGCAAGGATAGCTTTCCTAGCTCATTTTCTAGGTTAAAGCTCTCTCTTCTCTGGCTTTTGCAAAGTGAAAATACATGTATCTTGTGCTTTCTGAGATGTGCCTTTTCTGCTTCTCTCCACCACTTCTATCTGAACTTTTTGCTTTGTCTCTTTTGTCCAGCATTCTACAACTGGGATTCTATTCCCAGCAGTTTCTCTTCTGTGAGACTTTGTCTTGGAAAGGAACTTTGATTTGTTAATTTTGAGAGTTTATAGCACCCACACTGTACCAGGAGACCTTACTTATACTGCACTGTAGTCTGCTTGCGTTTACAGTTGACCCTTGAACAATGCAGGGGTTAGGGGTGCCAGCGCCCATCCCAGCAGTTCAAAATCCACATATAACTTCTGACTTCCAATAAACTTAACTACTAATAGCCTACTGCTGACCGGAAACCTTACTGACAACATAAACTGTTGATTAACACATAGTTTTTATGTTATATGAAGTATATACTGTCATCTTAAGGGCAAGCTAAAGAAATGAAGATGTTAAGAAAATCATAAGAGAAAATACATTTACTACGCATTAAGTGGATGTGGATCATCATAAAGGTCTTCATCCTTTTCATCTTCACAGTTGAGTAGGCTGAGGAGGAAAAGAAAGAGGAAGGGTTGGTTGTGCTGTCCCAGGGGTGGCAGCGGCAGAAGAAAATATGAGTATAAGTGGATCTGTGCAGTTCAAACCTGTATTGTTCAAGGGTCAAATGTATTTATAAACGGAATTGTGCCAAACTGTCTCCTAGTTTTTGCTGCTCTTCTCAGATTGGCCCACCACACTGTCCAGTGAGCATCTGCTATGACTGAGGTTCTGTTCTCCACCTGTCAGAAGTTCTTGTGCCTTCCTTCATCTTCTTCCCACACAGATACTGATACCATGCAAGTCTTGTAGTTGTCAGAGGTTTGTTTCCACCTGATTTCATTTGGAAGTTTGTTTCCTGATTCTGCTGTAGATGCTGTCTGTGAATCTTTGCTCTTCCCGCCCTCATTGCTTTATCTGAGTTTATGGGGAGATCTAGAGGAGATTTAAAAAGTACACGGCTATTGCTGTTATCTTCCCAGAATCTTCTCATTGGCAGATGTTTTTGAAGCATGTTCTATTTCTTTTTTTAAGCAGTATGGCATCTACAAGTTAAAAGGAAAATGCAATCAATAGTTGATTCTTAGTTTATAATACCAGGTAATTCTGTAGTGAAACAAATTGTAGGAACTTTTTCTCGGCTGAGTTAAATATCATAAAATGTTATACTTGTTGAATGTATGTCTTTTTTTAACAGTGATAAGTAGTTTAATGATTTGTATGTCATATATGGACTATGCTAAAAATCAACTTTTCTCCTTCAGAATAACAAGCCTTTGTATTCATTTGAAGATAATGCAGACTATGTTTATGATGTTATGTGGTCACCTACCCACCCAGCCCTGTTTGCCTGTGTGGATGGCATGGGGAGACTGGATTTGTGGAATCTCAATAATGACACAGAGGTGAGCAGGAAAATAACAAAAATTGCATTGAAAAATAGAAAATTGGATATTTATTGAATAATTTGCGAAATTCCTTTTATTCCAAAGGATGTAAAAGGGCTCTGTGATTGTAGCTTCATCACAAAGAACTCAAATAAGCTTTGTACCCTAAATAATAAACAGCATGCTGTGAAGAACTAAAGGGAGAAATAATGTTGACAGGAGTACTGGGGCATTTCCTTTTACTTCTGAAAAGCACTATCATGTCTCTAATGTCCTGGCAAAGTCTCATTCATAAGATAACTGGGATATTTTTCATTCATAGGCTAGCAGGCAGATAGTTTCAGACTGTTGAAGTATGTTAACCTTAATTCTGAATTTCTAAATTATCTCTTAGCCTTGATAGCATTATATATCATCCATAAACATTAATCTTAGCCTGATTTGTTTGAAGGAAGGAAAAATGTATTTTGATTTTTGATGAGTTTTTTTTCCATGAAGGATTGAAAACAGAGTATTACTATAAAATGAATATAGAAACTGTCAAATTTCCTAATTGCTGTACTGAAATCACTTATTAGCAATTAAATTTAATTGCAACTCTTATTTATTTTTAGTCACATGTATTTTTACCAGCTTAGAGAAGCTTAAAATGTTCTTAGAATTCTTTTATATTGCTATTGGTAATAGAATTAATATTAGTATTTCTATCAATAACAATTGTTGAGAGAGAGTCAACTCATATCTCCCACATCTCTTCCTAGTTACCTAGAATGGTACCAATTCTGTTTTATTTGGATTTCAGTCTTAGAGATTTGAGGTTACAGTTAAATGTGGATTGAAATGTAATATTTCTTTATAACTATTTTGGTATTCTGTGTATGGGGTTAAATTATTTGGGGATGACTAATACAAAGGATTTTTTTGTCAAATTTCAAAAATTTTAAAAAATTCTATCATACTTTTAGTCTGAATCAAACACTGAATGTTTGCTCCGTGTGTAGCAAATAAAACTCTTCTTCCTTAGCAAAGAAGAGGCACAGTCAGATTCCAGGGAGCTGGTGCCATTGTTTTGGTGCCATCATCCTGGCTCTCTCCCGCTAGCTCATGGAACAGGAGGCTTTAGACAGACTCATACTGCACCTTCAGTATGAACTGTTTCTAGGAACAGTGAGTCAAATACAGGTTTCAGCTGATAGAGATACACGCTACACAAGTGATTCCTGTCCTCTACAATCAAACCATAATCTGTTTATGGGGGCTTTTGAAGTGTTTTCTTTTTAAATGGGTTTTGGCCATGTGTTTTCAAACAGCTTGACTTCTTAAAGACATTAAAACAACAAAAAAGGACTCTTTATTAAGAGAAGACCTTTCAAAATAATGTATCTAATCTTCTGAGAATTTTTTATACAAGGACTTACTTTCGCAAACAATTTTCAAGGATTGACTATAATGTCATTCATAATATGTCACTGAAGAAGAAAAAAGTTGGGGAAATTCTTTATTTTCATCTTTGTTTTTAAAAATGTAGCCAGATTGAGAGAAGAATTACTGTTTTACATGTTTATAGAAATCTTGATGAAACTTTTAACACTGTCCTTTATTTTAAATGACTTTAGGTACCAACTGCCAGCATTTCTGTGGAGGGTAATCCTGCTCTTAATCGTGTGAGATGGACCCATTCTGGCAGAGAGATTGCTGTGGGTGATTCTGAAGGACAGATTGTTATATACGATGTGGGAGAGGTATGAGACTCCCTGCCTATAATTTTGACACATCTATTTAGTTGCGTTGTAGTAAAGGCATCTTTGTGGCTAACCCTAGGCTTTGAGGTTTATGAGTTGAATAAACTATATCGTTGTAAAGATAAAATTCACTTTCTACCACAGAAGCAACTCTTGAAATATTTTCTTTCTAAACCGAATGGTCTGTCTCCCATGCAACAGATTTTGAGGGTAATATAATAAATACACTGAACGTACCTTGTTTCTTGAAGCATGCATTGCTGGAAATTAGAAATTCTTTGGGGAGAAGTTTGGAGTTATAGGTGGACTTTGGGGTTTTCTTGATATTGAAATAAGATTTATTTTTCTGTATTCATTAATTTGAGCCAAGTAGTAGAAACCAAAAGTAATATCTGCTACTACAACTGAAGAACTGAATTTTTAATTTTAATTAATTTTAATGTAAATAATCACATGTGGCCAGTAGCTACCCTACTGGATAGTGTAGATTTAGAAGCAGGCACAGCCATTTGCCACAGTGAGTGGTTTGTGCCCTAACATGACAGTGTCAGACTCCTATTATATTATAATGGCAGTTACCGAAAATATTTGTTATTGGGGCCGGCCACAGTAGTTCACACCTATAATCCCAGCACTTTGGGAGGCTGAGACAGGTGGATCATCTGAGGTCAGGAGTTCGAGACCAGCCTGGCCAACATGGCAAAACCCCATCTCTACTTAAAATACAAAAATTAGCCAGGTGTGGTGGCACATGCCTGTAATCCCAGTTACTCGGGAGGCTGAGGCAGGAGAATCACTTGAACCTGGGAGGCAGAGGTTACAGCGAGCCGAGATCGTGCCACTGTACTCCAGCCTGGGCAACAGAGTGAGACTCTGTCTCAAAAAAAAAAAAAAAAAATTTGTGTGTGTATATATATATATATGTAGCTGTCTCTATGAAGTAAAGCATCACAAGCCTCTTTTGCCACCGGTGCAACACTAAAGCAGTGAATAGTAGCATAGCTTTTGATGAAGGAGTTAGGGTATCAAGAAAGATTACCTTATGTTCCAAACAAAAATACAAGAAACCAGCCCCCTTATGAAACCATGCTTCAAACATTGTTTCTTACAGAAAAAAACTCAGTTATTTACTGTATGCAAGAATACAGTAAAAAAAATTTTAAGGAATTCCTCTCCAGCAGAATCCATGAGATGGTGCATAGGAGTTATATTTACAAAGCATCATTGTTATTCTCTCTTGGATTGGTGGTGATAATAGCCAAGTCATTTCTGAGGCTGTCACAACACACTTCACAAACACCGTCTTTTGTTTTGAAATGTTGTAAATCATTGTTATAGTCCCCGTAATTATGGAAAGGCCATTCAGGTCAATTATTACTTTTTAACAGAAAAATTATTTGAAAACAAACTGAATAATAGTGGGTAAAATGATCTTTTATTTCATTGTATATAAAACATTGTCTTTCTTTTAATAGCAGATTGCTGTTCCCCGCAATGATGAATGGGCACGGTTTGGTCGAACACTTGCAGAAATAAATGCAAACCGAGCTGATGCAGAGGAGGAAGCAGCTACCCGAATACCTGCTTAGTTCCTGAAAAGGGGAGTGTAACTAGTGGATTTGGGAAAGGTTCTTAAGTAGATCCCAAGATTATTTGCATGCTTCTATCTAAATGATAATTAAAAGGAAATTTCATGGATTAAACCATGGGTTTAATGCAGTAAGGCGACTTACAATGTCCTTTTATATATAACATGCATCTTGTTTTGGATTTGTGTCATTTTTTAATATAGCTCATTGACTTCACAGAAAGCAGCTTTTTTGAATTCTAATACACAGGTGTATATTTGGTATTATTTTGAATTCTTTTCAACTTATAACACTGTATACAGTTATTTCTAAAGCACAGATGAAATAAGTTCTGCATATTTTTAAATGATCACGGTTCCCTATGACACAGATAATGTTCTCACTACCCATAATATATAGGAACATTGTTTCTCATTGGCCGTAGTATGCATACACCTATCCATGTTCCATTCTGACATCCTTTGTTGTCTTTATAATTCATGTGGTAGTTACCTATAAATAAAAACAAATATGCGTTAACTTCTCAAATTTTCATTTTTACTCCTTACAACTTGAATTTTTCCATCTTTTATAAAATATATTTTTTCCATATCTTTCTTTAAGCTCCTGCTGTAAGCAGCCATCTCAAAGCTGTGTGCTCTAAATATACCATGTGGTATATACTACAGATCTCCCAGTGCATTGTGAATTGATGTCTAGATAATCTGTTGGTGAAAAAATTTCCCCTAGGTTAACTTTTGTTTTACTACTCTATATTCTTTCCATCTAAGACATATTTCCTTTAAAGGATAAATAGAAAGCTGCCTATAATTTTCACTGATTAAGAACTATGTATGTGACCTCACTGAGAGTAAAACCTTTGAGAGAAATTGATTTCATAATTTCAGTAGCCATAAAGGCAAAGTGCTCAGATGGACCATACTTTGGCATTAAAATCTACATCTTGAGATCTGTTGCCACAGCATTGTCTACAAGTCAGAAAGGTAGGTGACAAATACCTAAGAATTAGTATTGAAATCAGTGAATTTCAGGAATAGAGGAAAGGACTATGATCAGATCTTGATTTTATCTACTTTAAATTGTAGATTTACTTGATCCCAAACTTTTGTACTTCTGAAGTGTAACTGTCTTTTATTCAACAGAACATGAACTAGGAAGAAAGATTAGAAATCAGAATTTGAACATTTTTCTTTCAATAATTGTAACAAAGATTTGTTGGGAGAGAAATTTCCAAATAATAAGTAGTGTATAGTGTAAGGAATAATTGACTTGGAATTATTGGCCCCAAACTCTCATTCTTGCTGAAGCACCTATGAGAAGTGTGATTTTAGCCAAGTCTGTGCCTCATTCTTTATATGTGGGAATTAAGTTTTGATTTAATGATTTCTGAATTTTCTCTCAGCTCTCCTCAGTTATGGGGTATCAATATATGAAACTGAATATAGAAAAGTACGCAATTCTTTGCTTTTCTGTATTCAGTTTCATAAATTGATACCCCATAATTGCCCATTATATACCAAAGACAACATCTCAAGTTATCTCATTGTAGCAGTGTCTGTGAGTCAAATCTTCAATTTTAGCAGTCACACTGTCTTTATATAGAAAAATTCATGTACTCACTACTCATGTAGTTACTGTATCTCTACCTTCAGTTTGTAAAAATGACTAAACGTAGGGAAAACAAGTGTTAAAATATAATGGACAAGAAAAGGTTGGAAATCCTATGTCAAATCAGATGTTCCTTAAACTCCAGGTGTTGTGTTTAGTTGTGAAAGAAAGAATAAAATTGTTTAAATGTTTCACTTTTTGGGAATGACTTCTCCCTTTCTCCCCCAGAAAATGCGATGTATACCTTTGCCCATTCAACTTTAGTCTGTATTTTTAGGAACATACAAATTTACTTTAAGGAATTACCTTAAGTTGACTATATAATAGCAAAAGAGAAAGTATTGAGACTGTCAGTGTGGATATAGAAGCTTGGATTAGGTTGACTAGAAGTGCATCACAGTTCTTTATACTTTTAGAACTAAAAGGCTTATAATTTTGAAAAATATCCAGTTACAGAAATTGTACCTTATCAGTTGTACTTTTTTTCTGAGTAAGAAAACAAGCTGTAGCTTTCTGGTTAATTTCTTAATTTTTGTTGTTTGGTTTTTGTCTTTTTGAATGGAACATTAAAGTTTATTACCTTTATGTTAAGGAATATCCAGCTTCACAGACAATTAACTTGCAATAAATCTCTGAAATAATCATTTTTTAGTATTTAAACCAAATATTCATTGGTAGAAGCTTTCTTCCTATTTACAAATCCAGTTCCCTATAAAGTTTAGAAAGTCTCTTTATATAAAATGTTGTTACAATAATGCTGAAATACTGCATCTCGAAGGAATGGATGACTTAAAATTTAGTGGGAGGAACTATAGGAAAGTAGTTTTAGGAATGATTGGTCCTAGTCTTTCAGTGTTGTTAGAATGTTTTAGTCTGTTCTGTACTAGTGTGGATAGACTGTAATATCCACCCCTTGAACCATACAGAAAGACTTGAATGGATGAGTGAAAATCTGCTGTGAAGCATATCATACTATTTTTCCTTATATTGAGTAGTGCAGAAATCCACTAGGGTTTTTTTTTTCCTAAAGCGCTGTCATAAATTTCAGTGGTCACCTGCCACTCACTAGGCAGTGCATTTTTAAATGTCTTTTCCACAACCCCAGCGTTTCAACATTGATATTCTAATAGTTTTCTAAATGAGAAGACTGTATAATTAAATGTATGCTAAAGAGAATGGAGCTCCAAGTGCAGCTCCAGATGCTGCTTATCATCTAGGGTGCTGGTGTCATGTCTCAGTCTTCAGGATAAGCTAAGGTTAAATAGCCAACAGCTTTGCTGCTTCTTGATGATTTAGTGATGGGGTTCCCACTGAGTTTTGTTTTTAATCCAAGCTACACAGCAACAAGAAAGGAGTTCTTGCTTTCCCGATACCATCTTGCTGATTGCTAGGCCAGCAGTCCCCAACCTTTTTGGCACCAGGCATCAGTTTCAAGGAAGACAATTTTTCCATGGACCAGGGAGGTTTGGGAGGTGGTTTCGGGATCAAACTGTTCCACCTCAGGTCACCATCAGGCATTATTAGATTCTCATAAGGAAGGAGCTCACACAACCTAGATCCCTAGGATGGGGAGCTCAGGTGGTATTGCTCACTCGCTCGCCTGCCTGCCACTCACCTCCTGTTACATGGCCTGCCATGGATCACTGCTGGTTCTGGTTTGCAGCCCAGGGGTTGGGGACCCCTTTGCTTGGCAACTTAAGGACCTTACAGGTTTGAGGAACAGTCACTCCCAACTTGGACCTTATCATTTACTAATTAAAAATTATTGATGCTGTGAGATTATTTACTTAGAGATCTGGCTTACAAATCTAGGGGCTCCTAATGCTGTCAAAGAATTGGAAATTGCCCCAAAGGCAATATTAACAGAACAGCCATTTTCAGTATTTCTTTTGAAGGGGAAGATTACAATTAGGAACATTCTTTTAATCAAGTTTTTCAAAAGTTTTACAGCCCCCAAATGGTAGTAATTTGCTTGTACTGTATTACATTTTGTAATTCCTTTTCATAAATAGGAAACATGTTATGGAGTCCATCTTAAAGAAAAATCCTACACTGCTAACCAGAATACCAACTATAAGACTTGGAATTCCTCACACTGGAATGCTTTTCACAATAGGCCAGTTCTCTCATTCCTTTTGTTGGACTTTAGGTATTTAGATTGTCTTTCTGCCTGCCATGTTCACAATTCCCAAACTTCTAAAAGTTCAAATGGATGGCAGGTATTTTAAGTTTTCAGTATGTAGCTTTTAGCCACTGATAGTTTCCACATAGCCAATCAGCAGACTTTTACAAACTTTTATAAAATTACGGCATTTTGTGTTGTTAGTTTCATAGCAGGAATCCCAGTTTTGGCTTCTTAATATTCCATTACCAGTTCCCAGTCAGAGGACGGAACAGCTTGCACTCAGGTAAGCTTTCTGAAAGGTCTGTTTCACTTTGTGAGGTCACTTATTCAGGTCTCTGGTAATGTATTATCCTGCCTCTCTTATAATGTACTTGATTTGGTCAGAAAGCTGTGGGGCGGTGATTGTATAGATGTAGAACACACCTGCGTTGGGCCGAACATGCAGAGACCTGACACTGTGACTCCTGAAATCAGGTATGCCAGTGGTAAGACTTTGATAGCAGTAATTTTATCTTTTGTGAATTTTTGTACTAGGTTTTTGTTGTTTTTTTTTTTCTGAACAAGGTAATGGAAATGCATTGAAACAAAATTTCTTGTATTTAAGAGTGGCTTGGTATATAAGAGAAAGAACCCTAGGCACAAAAGACCCAAGTTCTATTCCTGATTTCCCCCATTTCTAATAATGTAATCTAGGACAAGGGTAAGTATTATCATCTTTTAAATGAGGAAAATATTTGCTTTCTGTGACAATTATGTGAGAAAATGTATATGTGAAGGCCTTTGTAAATTATATTACAAAGTACTATACAAATAAGAGATTTTATTTTTCATTTTCTTTTTAAGAATACAAGAATGGAGAGAGACCATCTGTGTACCCCTCTGTGCAATGTAACGAGCTCAGGATAAAGTGGGTTGGTGTTTAAGAAATTATTTTTTAATTCTAGGAAATCACATAACTTAAACCCTCAGCAGAATCCTCAGGTTTTCAGGAGTAGCAGTGAACTGAGAAAAATACCAATTGCTTTTAATCAGTGATATTTTTTCTAGGAATGTTTTATTACATTCTATGATAAAGTTACAGATTATGCTTAGTTGAAAAAAAATGACCCACTCTGAATTTCTATCGTTGACTCAGCTGTTGCTCTTCTGTTAGTTATATACAGAACATCGACTGTGGTATCTGGAGCCTGTGAAAAGGGGAAGTGGAACTCCTTTTTTGAATCAATGAGAGAACAAACTTGGTTCAAGACTACACAGTTACATAGTGGCAGAACTGGAATCAGTCACTTCTCTATAAATCTAGGAACAACAGCTATTCAGCTGTTACACTCTTTACATAGTACTTCTCCCTTCCCTAGGGTTAGTCCCCTTGGAAATAATGTGTGCTCATGTGAGAAGATGATCACTAAAAGGAAGACCTTTGTTCCTTAAGGAACTGTGTATTGGCTGTCGGGCTTACAGGACACCTTGAGATCGGTCCTGCAGAAATAGCTCTTACCTGCTTCTTATCTGGATTGGCAGGTAGGGATCTCTCTTACTGTATCCAAAATGTGATTTCCAGAAACAAGGCAAAACCTGATATAATAAATACCCACTGAGGAAGAAACGTGGTAAAATGACTAGCCCCTTATTAATGGGCCTCATTTCTAATAATATTTGATATAGTCATGAATTTGTCAGTACTTTAAGGGTTCTTAAATGGATTTAAAGGAAACTTCATTTTCTAGAGGTAAAAGAAATGATGAGCCTTATTTTTCCTCAAACTCAGACTTAAGTTGTATTTGTATCAAGAAAAAATGTTTATTTTGTGCTAAAAGTCCAATAAGGAGTAATACAGTGTGATGCAAAGAAGACTGCCCCTGAGTTTCCTGCTCCTCATCTTAGACAAATTCTTCATCTCTCTAGACCTTCCCCCTCTTTGCTGTAAAATGAGTGCTGCAGTATCAGCATTACCAGGGAATAACTGGAATAATACATTCATGTAGATCAGATGCCCCAAAATGCTAAATGAATGTTAAGAAGATGTGGTTTAATTGGAATTACATCAACTGAGAGGAAATAATTGACTCCAAATATTAATATTTAGTTGGTAGATTAGCCTTTTCAAACATGATAGTCTTGAAATTTATATTTCTAGTTCTAACAGCCTTGAATTTTAAGAGTCAACGTGTGTTGAAACTCAGTTAACCATGTCTTTGGGCAAATGTTTTCACCTCTCTAAGCCTATTCTTTCATCTACCACTTCTCAAAGAAGTTATGAGAATTATACCCGAATATATGTGAAAATGCATGCTAATCTATGAAGCACCATACAGGTATGAAGCACTGGTATTATGGAAGGTGAACCTTCAACAGGTTCACTACCTGATCTTCAGTAGCTCCTGTAAGCTTTGCAGGCTCTGTCTCCTGGCTGTTAGCGGTTAAAAACAGGCTCCTAGAAGTTCAGGTATCTTTGCTGACACAGCTGCTTTACCACACAAAGCCTTCCTGACCAGTTGGGATTCACTGATAATCTTTATCTTAGCTTTTATATTCTGCTTTTGAAAGAGAGCCCTAAATCAGTATAAGTTTCAAAAAAAAAAAAAAAGAGATGGGAGTGATATGAGAACCTACTCAAAGATCTTTTACCATTACTTTATACTTAGTGGAAATGTACAGCTGTTTCTAAAGTTACCATTTCCTCTGCCTTACAAAGAACTGGCCTGTGTACATTCTGACCATGTAGTAGTAGTAATTGCTATTTACTGAGCATGTATTAAATTATATATATATATATATATACACACACACACACACACAGATGTGGGAAATATGATTGCTAATTTACAAAAGAGGAAACTGGTGTGTAGCCAGTTTGCATGATGTAGATGTTCCCACCATGGCCAATTGCAAACAACAAATGTAGTATCAATGAAAATGTAATTGGGAAGATACACACATAGTGGGCCCTCATTGGACTGGTACAAGCCAGGTCCAGCATATCCCTGGGACTAGGGGCATTAAGCGAGTCATAGTTTAGGAACTAAACACAAAGTCTTGATTTTAGAGTTGTGTACTTAACCAAGT